CAGGGTACAGAGACAGGACTCTGAAAGACATGGCACAGAAGCCTCTCCAGCGCTTTTGTCAACCTCAAAAAAGCCTTTTCACCATTCACAATGCCAAGCCTTTAAGGGATGGGTTGTACAAAATGTTTATGAAGGTTCTCAGTCATCCAGGTGGAATTGTCTGGCGGTTGAGTCATGGCAACTGGACTTCTTTTATTTTTAGTTAGAGATGTTTCACGGCTTGTCCAAGCAGCTTCTTCAGTCCTGAAGCCTTCTGAAGAAGCTGCTTGGACAAGTAGCAAAACGTCTCTAACCAAAAAGAAAAGAAGTCCAGTTGCCATGACTCAACCGCCAGACAATTCCACCTGGATGACTGAGAACCTTCATAAACATTTTGTACAACCCATCCCTTAAAGGCTTGGCATTGTGAATTGTGAAAAGGCTTTTTTGAGGTTGACAAAAGCGCTGGAGAGGCTTCTGTGCCATGTCTTTCAGAGTCCTGTCTCTGTACCCTGCACAGTTTTAGTTATTGGGACAGTCTGTTTTTCTGAGTTCCCTTACCTGTGCTATGTAAATCAGTATTTATTCACCATATCACGGAATAGATGAATAATTTACAAATTAGATGACAGTCATAAATCTTTGTAATATGGAAATATTTTTTGCATGTGGATGAAGACAAGGAGAAAATATATTTCTTATTCTGTTACCCACTGTCCTGCTACTTATTTTAAAAGAAATATGGCCTTTCCATGGCTCAGGATGGATGATGATTAAAAAAATGTTTTGGAAGACGATGAGAAAGATGAACAAGTTCAGAAATACCATGATCAGTTTAGATTCAGAAGGAAAACTGTTCAGTCAGTCATGGAAGCCATACAGCCCAGATACCTTCACACAAGGAAGCCTATCCTGGCTTTAGTAGGAGAGAATCTCTGTAGCTCAGGGTTGAACTGTGGAGTCCTTGGTGCTCTCTGAGCTTGGTGGTTTTCTTGCAGACATTTCATGACCCAACTAGGTAACATCATCAGTGTGAGTGAGTGTGTGGCTTGCTCCCTGTTTATCTTGGCTTTGATGGTGCCAGAGCCTGCAATCCAAAAAGTTGTAAGGCCAGCACAAAACCTGTGATTTAATTTAAAGGTAAATTTAATTCAATTAAAATGACATTTAGATGTTTGCTCATTATGTATTTAATAACTTTCCCATATATCACATTAAAAAGTCCAGTTTGGTTACGACTTTTGGACAGGTTTCGGTTGGGATGGAGGTTGTGTCCTTCTGCTTTAAACAAGAAACTCAGAATGCCCCTGTTCTGTTATTTGAGGGACAGGAATCCTGCAGAAGGTTGTTCCACAACCTTGGAGCTCTTGCAACAGGTTCCTGGACTCTTGCAGAATGTCCTGGCTCTTCCTAATCAGGAATCCAGAGCAAAACCTATGAATGAGGGAGCTCTAGTATCAGGCACAAACTGTGTCAGAGAAGGATGGCCAGCAGCAGAGAATGCCTATACTGTACCTAGATTCCATTGGCTCCCCTGCTAAATGCTGACTTTCTGAACCAGAGCATCTCCCCCAACTGATTGCCCAAGCCATACTTGGAATCCTCCAGAAGGACACGCATCACAGCCAATCTGTTCTGAAGGTGTTTCTCCTCATGTCATTTGTAATTTGGAAGAGGGAGGGTATGATTCACATGCCGCAGATATCCTCTTTACGGACCTTCCTTGAACCACCCACAAATGTTGGCTGTGGTTTGGGGGTGGGGGGGATTTGCACTGACAGAGCTGGTATAAAATGTACAGTTAGTGGTAGTTGGCTGACCTGCTTATTGGCTGATTGTGCAAAATCGACTCTGAGTAAGTTCACTTACTCGGGGCTCTTGTGAATAGTAATATCTCAAGCTATAGAGGCAGCCAACTAGGGTTAATTATCATACGTTATTCGGTTTCAATAGGATCACAGGCATAGCTTCTACATCTGATAATCCGCATTAATAATGATTCCAAGAGCAGGCAACCCTTTCTGTCTTGCAGTGATGGTCACCAACTATCACTGAGTTAATTGCTTCATGCAAAAATGATACAACGGTGGTTCGGTGGGTCTCAGTGTGTTTAGTGTGTTGGTGAGCTTTCAGCTTGGGTTCTGCAGGTGCAGATCTGTGTTCAGAGAACTATTTCAGCCGTGGCTTCTTTCTGTGTTGTGTAGGGCTCTGCCGTCTCTGTCGAGGAAATAAAAATGCCGGATATCCAACCTCAGGATTAGAGAGGGTAGATCTGTGCGTGCTTTGAAAAAAAATTCAGAGGAAGAGCTTCAGATCAGGGGCGAGGACGGACACAGCAAGGCCAGCTGGCCATTAAAGCAGCCTGACCTTTTTCAGGCTTCTGGTGAGTTTGGAAAAAAGTTGCAGTGGCTTTAAGGAGACAATTTGTAAACTTCAGCGTGACTCTTAAAGCTGATGAGACTTTCTTCCAGGTTCATCTGGGAGCCTGGAATGGAGAGGGGGCGGGGGGCGGGGGCTGCACTCATGATTTCCAAATCATTTGTGAAATCAGCACAGCCCTGGTATATGGTTACGGTCCCTTCAAGGATTTGCTCTGAACCTCAAGACCACTGTCTGGGCAGAAGCTGCAACTGACCTAAAATATACCTGTGATGTATTAAACTGCAAGGGCTGAGAAGTAAATGAGTTGTAGAGGGCAGGTTGCCTCGTCCTCTATGATTCCATCTATAGGTTACTAGGCTATATTGTGTCAGTTTACATTAATACCTGATAGACGATGGCCACATGTACAAAATCACAACAGCGAAATCTGAACTTAAGAATGGTGGTATACTGGATACGTCACGGGCTTTAAGATCCTGTTGCTTTTCAGTCTGATCTGCAAGGAAGAGAGCAATTGACAGGGCGCAAGTGAAATTTCTGTCACATTTTTTAAAAGAGCTTCAAAGTTGCTCTTCTTCAGAGTAATAATAAAAACAATAATTTATCAAACTTGTATGCCACCCAGCTCTCAATGACTTTGGGCAACTAGATGTATCCTTGTGCAATATTCAATATTCTTTTTTAGAGAGGCAAAGGCGTTTCAAGAAAAGATGCTCACAAAGAGATTGGGGCAATTTACAGATTTGTCAGAAAGGGAATGTGAGATCAGTCAGGATCCAGTTTAAAAAAAATGAAATATTAAGAAAAATCTTTATGTTATGTTATGTTATGTTATGTTATGTTATGTTATGTTATGTTATGTTATGTTATGTTATGTTATGTTATATTGTTATATTATTTCTGGGTCACACATAAAGCATCTACTCTGTGATGCAAAGCATTCTAGCACTAAAATACGACCAGGCAAAATGTCAGTTTGAGCCTCCAAATCCTAGACTATATTTGATGATTAACAGTATTTATGGCACCACTTTAGGGTTATCCTCTGCAGGCTTGGAATAGTCGATATCACTCAGTATAAATGTGGCAAGCAAACTATTTTGACCAAGAACAAAAACCTTTGTAGGGCATATCAAGGTGATGTATTTGTTAGAAAGTTTCAATCAAAACAAATGATTTTTCCATGAAGTTTTCGGTTGTTGTTGGGTTTTTTTCCTTTTCCCTTTTTAATTAGACATTTTAACAAGAACAGTATTCTTTTCTGACCTTCTCTATTCTAAACTGGGAAAGAGTAGGAACTTCTTAAATGTGGGCAGGGAATTCTGTTTGAATATGATTTCTTTAAAAAGTAA